ATGAAGGAAATGTCAAAGGTATTTAAATCTTCTATATTTTGGTCATTCATTCAAAACTTTAAAGCAATGCTGCGATTAAAAAGTGGAACAGATTTGGAAGCATACCCTAAATTACGCGCGTTTGTGAAAGCTTCAACCAAAGGATAGGTACAAAAGCCAAAGAAATGTTCTGCATTTACAGAAAGCGACCTAAGAGGATTTTTTATTTCACCCAGATGACAGTTTCAAAAGTCATACTTGAAGTATCGTTACTTAGCAACTTTAAAGCACGTGTGTTTTAAAGGCCTTTTTTCGCACGCATTTGAGTGTTTAAAACGGAGATTGTGATTCAGGTATAATAAAAAATATATTGCGGCTAATGGCGCCATTTTGACGGCCAACATTTTGATTTGCTGCACGGATTTTCGAGTGGCTCCCTATCTCAAAAATTGCCTTTTGGTATTAACTATTACCACAGAAAGTGGCATATTCCAATCAAAAAGTGCAGTATTTTCCCCATTCTAGCCATGTACCCGACGTACTATACTTGTTATTATTATTTGAACTTTCACATGCAAATTTTCTCTTGATTCCCTGTTCCTCTTTCTACAGCTATTATTGCAGAAACCCACTTACTATGGGTGCTACCGCTCTTTGATACTCTCTGCAGATCTTAACACCGCATACGCCTTACAAAACATTGATTCCAACCTCCGAGGTTGCCATTTCTATTTATTAATTTCGTGTAACCATGGTTACAAATTGGGTTTTTACTTCGTGATAAAATTGTGGAGTGTAAATTATTGTCGGCGAAGTATCGTGTGTCCTATTTTGGATGAGACTGCTGGGTATCTTTTTTTAAAGATTTTGCGACCCTGTACCTCTTTTTTGTGAAACTTTTAATAATACAAACAGAATCAATCTAGCTACCTTTGTATCTGAGATACAGGCTGAAAACAAAAAGTGTGTCTATCAAAGCCTACTATCCATGTAAGGTAGAAAAAAGGTAAAAACTGTCTATTTTAGATATTTCTACGTAAAAATTCAGTGGCATAGTAAAAAAATTGGACATAATTTTTATATATATACATATATACAGGGTGGTGACTTGCGTAACGCATCATAGGGATTTCAATGCAAAATTCATAACATGCCATTATTGGCTCCCCAAATTATTTTAGAGCAAAAATGTATTAAGGTTTTTTTGTAGAAAAAAATTTTTTACGCCAATCAACCCCCATCTTTTTCAATAATCTGCGATGCCATGGAATTTTCTAAAACAAAAAGATATCCAGTTATCAATTAGGAGCAGTTCGAAATGGATTTTATGATCGACTTGGTTAGGAAACCGTTTTTAGTAATTTGGTCTTTCTTTATGTTGAATTCGCTGTTCTAAATATAATACTTTTTGATAGAATTTGATTTGTTTTATAGCAGACATTCCATGGCATGACGGATATTGGCGTAGTTTTGCATTATAAAATTCCATGGCATCACAGATTATTGAAAAAGATGGGGGTTTATTTTTCCAATGTTCCGTCTTTAGTGTGCAAAAAATTGAAAACTAATACGGTTGATTGGCGTAAAAAATTTTTTTCTACAAAAAACCTTAATACATTTTTGGTCTAAAATAATTTAGGGAGCCAATAATCGCGTGTTATGAATTTTACATTGAAATCCCTATAATGCGTTACGCAAGTCACCACCCTGTATATAATAATCATGTTTCAAAATTTTGAAATGACATGTTTCTACCATTAGCCATTTTTTTATTGGTATCGACTGCCTTAGTTACCATAGATACAATAACAAAACAAAATCTCTATCAATCCCAGGCCTACTATTTAAAAACTGTAAAAAATAAGGTTTCTATTGGTTTTCATGGCTAAAATTAAAAACTATATAGGTTGTGATCCATTAATGTAATCAAGATATAGAATGGAAAAAAATTGACGTTAAATACAGGGGGTAGCATTAAAAAATACCCACTTCCAAATCTTAGAAACGGTGGTCCAAAAATGTTTTTGACTACGCCATTGGATTCTACGTAAACATATCTAAAGCAGGCAGTTTCTCCTTTTGTCTATCTTATATGGATATTAAGATATGATACCATCCCAAAAAATCAAATTTTTCGTTTTCACCCTGTACCTCAGACACAGACATACCTATTAGATTGATTCTGTTTGTGGTATTAAAAGTTTCACAGAAAACGGTACAGTGTGCAGTGTACAGTTTTAGCGAAACATTTCGGAAGCGGCCCACCAGGTAAGTTAATCCTTCCCTTCGAAGTCGTAGAGATCGATCACTGCCTTTGGAGAGGCGAAAAGTATCAGACGTGACTGCATTCGGGACTTGGATTGAAGTATTTAACAAATTTTGATTTTTTTAGCGCATTTTCCAAACTGTCTGCACTCTGTCCGTCTGTACCACTACTAGTCCTCCAGTTCGTTGTGATTTTTTTCTTATACGGTGTAGTACTAGTACAGCCCAAAGACCAGAACGACAAAAGTTTATTCGGATGGTTACTTCCTTCTCGAGTTATTACTGATGATTCTGTGCGGAGAAAAAGTGCTTTCCTCGGTCGCGAGTGACCACGTTTTTAACTTGTTCTATTTGGACACGTCGTTTATTCCTTCACTTGACATTTGATCACGCTTTCCAAATTGAAACAACTTCACTATTGGATACTAATTTCGGTGGTTGCAAATCGCGACTTCTTCATGTCTTCGCAATCCTGTAAATCAGTCCGCGAGTAATTGTTGCATAATGCCGTCTCAGTAAATCTCTTATTTAATTACTAATTGGTTTTAAATCATCCCGTTATCTGAATATCTTTAACAATAATGTTTTCTTAATTTAAAACAAGACGTTACTTGAAATGAAAGCATTTTAATTAGGTATTTCATTAAACATTTAGTTCTTTGCAAGTATGGAAATATTTGGTAAAAATACGGCCGAATAATTAATAGACAACGAATGTATTGTAACGGGAGAGCCATATAGGATCAATTTTATTTAGTACGGACGAGGGGGAGGGATTTCAACACCTATAATAATGTAACAGTATTTTTTCAACAATAATATTTATCTGATAAAATAAATTTAGTAACAATGTAAATATTCGCCTACAGGCAATTTATCACGGTTCCAAATATTTGCGAAGGTAACATAAAATAAAATATTTGGTTTTGGCCCTAATGTGGCTCCGTTATTGTACAGTACTGTTGGATAGCTCGCTAAAAAGTTCCCCAATTCGATCGTAATTAAACATTGGTAAATGCAAAAGCACGTATATTATTAAAGCTTCCGTGGAAGGACAAATTGTGGTACCACTAAAAACTTGGATACTTTATATTCAAAAATTCCCAAAGATTCATTTTCCATTTTATTATAGTAACTTTCAATCCTCGAGGTGCATGCACTGGTTCTGTTGAAATTATGTACCTACACTTTGCTATCCGGGTCAAATTTGAAGGGGTCATTACACTACGTTGATTTCTTAGTAACTTGTCTCGATGGACAGAAACTGGCCAACCTTTTCGACAAGTGTTCAGGGAAAGGGGGTGTTAAAATACTTGAAAGTCCTTTTATCCAGTTTTAATCCAGAAAAAGAATAAAATGCCTTAATACAGCGATTTAAGATTATAAAAATAGGAGTAAGGATAACGCCGTGACAATTTTCCCACGTAAGGTAAAATTATTCTAGCTAGATTAGGGGTTGACACTTTCCCATAGACTCAAAGTAATCTGTCACTTCGTGTCTAAATTAACGCTTCGAGTTCAAATTACACAAATTTCCGTGAAAATTGTCATTACACTTTAATCAAGACAAATGGGCTCATGAAGTGAATTTGATAGCAAGAAGACAACTTCAATGGAACAAGCATTCGAGTTCATTGGCAGAACAGCTTGAGCTGTATACAACATGAATTATTCATTTTGCCATATATTGAAGCTACATATAAACAATATATTAGTCGACGAGAAAGGCGGCCTAAAAAAATTATTTGCGGGATTTCTAAAATAAACAAGAAAACGGAAATGATCCATTGTTTTTGACGAAATCTGCACAAAAAAGAGATTGATGACACCGGCTAGTTATACAACGTTTTTCGCGTCATTCCACTTTCCCTTTTATCTAATTCGATTCCTAATTGTACCGTCAATTATCCAATTTCACCGTTGTCGTTTTTATAAATGCCCAAATTTTAATAAACTGCACGCCCACGTGATACGTTACATAATTTGGCAAATACTGGAAGAAAGCGAAAATGATTCCGGTTCAACGATTTATTTAGATGGAAAGGTGCGTTATTCAAATTTTCCGCCCACGCGCGTTTCTCTGCAGATCGGAAGAACTTTCAATGCCGTTACGCATTTGAGGTATTCAAGCGTGAAAAGAGTTGTTTATTTAAGCAATGATAAATACACAGTGTGAAGGAGGAAGGTTAAAGTATCTTTAACAATCTCCTGAAGTTATTCCGCCTGCAGATAGTCCGGTTTTTTAACTTTTACGTGTTATAAATTTTGACGTTTATTAATTGTTTATAATTACTTTAATTATCTAATAAGTTTCACACGTTTTCTAATTTAAAAGGCACCGATTTAAATTATGCATAATGTTCTGTTACCTCATTAATTATTTTTTTCGTTATGATCGACGTTTCGACAGTGTTCAATCATCATCAATTTTTTATTCTGTACTTAATCTCTATATTTTTCTCCAAACTTTTGAAGTACCTTGCTCCATATCGACAAGGCTTTTTCCAAAATATGATAAATTGCATTTTGTCTCTCGATCCCATAGTCGCATATGGGAAATTGAGACTAAAGCCAGTTGTAATGAAATCAGGTGTTGTATAAAAAGTAAAAGGTAGCAAAGTGTTGTAAAACGTAATATAAATCTTTTTCGTAACACAATAGTAAAAGTTGTCGCTTCAAAAGGACTACTTACATATACAGAGTGAAGGATCGCTTCCAAGTTTCTAATAACAAATTTCACACGTTTTCGCTATTAAGGATTGCTTTAATTAAACCTTTTATGTGCCTAATTGATATTTGTACTTCACCTGGTTTGTAAGTGATATTGAGAAAAACTCCCACATTTACATCATGATTTGATACACTTACCTTTTGTTGATACAGTGGATGTGGGCTTCTTGTCTTTCTGCGTGAACAGAATTTTTCGAGGTGGCGTTTTGACATCGTTTGAAAGTTTGGCAACGTTCTTCTTATCTGAAAAAGGAAAATTAGCTCGTTACTTTTACACTATTGGGCGATCAAAGGTTTTAAATTTAAAATATTGCAAGGCATGTGGGTCACGATAATTAAAAACTGTAGTCGTGTATTTGCAACATTGTTATAAGTTATTCTTCCACTAATTTATGAACCCTTTCAATGCGGTTTCACAACAGTAATAAATCCTGGGATCATAATAACATTTTACTACTAATTAGGTATTATTGATATATTGCTCACTGTACAGACAGCAGCAGTGTTTTGAAATTGCGCTTTTACCACTCGCGCGCGTACAATGCCTCCAGTCTGAAATTTTTTAAGAGGCAGTAATTTACAATATCTTTACATTTAGTACAAACATAGTGCTTTCTTTTCTATTAGCAAATGTATTGAAGAAGTTACATAGAAGTGGATTTGGGAGTGTATTTAATAGTACATTAAGAAACAAGTGTATAATGAAGTCTTTAAGGCACGCGCAATGAGTTTAAAGATCAATTATACGCGCGTTTCTTATATTTTCTATTATACCTACAATATAATTTAAAAATAAGGGAAATAAGGTGAAATCATATTGACGTTATACTCGAATACGTTTTTAATTAACTCGGCTAATTAATCGTAATTCCATGATTGCCATGGAAAAATAACTTCCACGTCAAATACGATTAAATCACTACACCAAAAAAGCAAAAAAAACTGACCAAGTAACTGAAGATCTAATATTACTGATTTTCTTCATAAAGGTTTAGGCAACGCTGTCTGATTTAAAAAGAATGCAAAAAAGATGTAAATGTAATGTCACGGTTCAACACCCACCCACAGTACTCAACTTCCTCAACGAACGGGAAATACATGTTATAGTTTTAACATGGGGCGCCCAAGGCTTAATGGACAACTGCTTTTGTTAGGTAAATGGCAAAATACACTCACAGGGAACCAATTATTATGATGCTACATCCTTTGAAGTGAGTATAGTCAAGAAGCTGTTCAGAAACTTGCTCCATTGGAAAATGAACTAATTATTCAAGCAGCAGATGTACCTATCCCTGACCTAAGTTGCAGTTGACACAATTCACCAATCGCCCAAAATAGGACCATCATCATCTTTTTTACTAAACCAAAACACATACGTTAATTTGACTAAAAAATATAAACAAAAAAAGACATAATTTGAAACATATGAAATGTAATGATGGGAATTAGAGATAACATCAAGCAAAAACGCCTTTCCTTACGCAACCCACCACACACGTGTGTATGTGTGGTATAACATTTAACGCGAATTCTCATAATGCAAGATACTAAAAATAAAAATGAATTATTCAGGAAGGGAGGCTTCCGTATTTTGAATCCGTGCTAAAAGTGGCACATATGCTTAGCAGGTGTATTCCACCTGCAAACTTGTTCTTGGATGGATCGACCACGGTCAACCAGTCGCAGCTCTTCCCTCGCTATTGTCCTAAACACAATTTAAATTGTTCCATCTCCTACGTCCGATTTTCATTGAACGCATGTAACCAAGGTGTTACATAATTTGTAGGTCATTTTGTTTATGTGGATCATTGGGTTCTTGAATAAATTTCGCCCACGACATTTTTTCAGTTTGGGATTACGGAGCCTTGCACGAACAGTATTTAAGACGAGGGCCCAAACTTTGTCCGCGTGTTGCAATTACTAGAGGTGGTCATTTCTTTCGCTTGTGATGTCAAAGACCTCTTTAGACATTCACTTGTTTAGTTCAATGTGCGAAATGCGACCATGAAATGGACTAAATATAATATTTCGAGCACAGATTGAACTTTACGAAAATAAAAGCGCATGATTTTAGTATCAATAATTCTAATTATGTATTCGCACATTCCGGGCAATGAACAGGGGATCTCACACTATGTCTCAAGTGGTGGTCATTTGATCAACGATGGCGTACTAAAAAGCTCTTCTGTTCCTTAAATCCTTCCGCGTGGTAAGAACCCGACAATGTCCGTGTTTTAAGGGAGACTAATCAAAGTTGGAAGTCATGGTGATACAAGTTGAATGAATTTGGGAGTAAACAGTGTCCTTGCAAGCTGTCCAAGCAAACTCCTGATGTGTAGTTATATTACACACGTACCTACTTAAATAAAACAAAAGCAGGAGTCTAAGGAGGGCATTGCAAAACTGGGCTCAAAAAAACAAATTTAGAAAGTTCAGGCTTGAAAAAGGAAAAGTTGGAGCAAAAGCCCTACAACTCAATCCCCACTAATGATGGATTCTAATCCAGGGTGTTTTCGAACACCATAGAAAGAACATTTCAAATCGAAGAATGTCGTAACAAAATTAGGTGATCCATCCGAAGCAGAAGCAGTGGATTACAATGATCAGCGCTACTTACAAGTTCCATTTATTAAAACGTGATTTAGGCACCGTCAAAATTAAGTATCCCTTAAAGTTAAGCATAACTTAAATACCATAGCAAGGATTGTCTTAATAATCGTTGCCATAGATTTAACTTTAATCAAGGCTTAATTTTGTTGGTGCAACTGGGGCTTAATTATATGAACAGGTGTCTTGATGAAAAATGATTAAAAAAACAATTAAATTACTTGGTCCCAAAGTTACTAATTGTAACTACTTTCCGCGTAATACCAGTGGCGCACCCATAGGGGGGGTTTTCGGGGTTAACCCCCCCCCCCCCCCCCCCAAGCACTGATAGATTTTTTTAAAATAATCTTTTCCCACAATAGTTTATGAATTAATCATTCCCTATTTCCCAAAGATCCGACCATCCTCTCCGAGGAAACCTTAACTGAATTCCAGTCTTTAGTATTATTTTATAAAGATGATTTGACAGGAACTATAGATGAGCTAGTTGCCGAACTTAGACTTTGGTATAGAGCAATCGCCAGATTGCCAAATGAAGATCGACCCAGAGATGCCTTAAGGGCTTTACAACACGTTACAGACACCTTTACAAATATTAGGGTATTACTTGCTATATTAGCTACATTGCCTGTCTCTACTCCGGAAGGCGAACGTAGTTTTTCAACTTTGAGAAGAATCAAAAATTATTTAAGAAATAGTTCTTCCGAAAACCGACTAAATGGCTTAACTCTTCTAAACATTTATAGAAACATGACCCCTTCTGTGGAAAATATTTTAGAGAAACTCGCACAGAAACCTAGAAAATTAAAACTTAGTTTAACTTAATATTTATAGCCATAAATAATTTCTTTTACGTTCTGTTTTGTTTTTTTGGACAAAGTGTAAGTGTAACTGTGTAATCTTTTGTTTATTAAAAATATAATTTATGTTAACATTTTGGATTTACTAATTTCATCTGTCCCCGCCCGCATTTGTCACATTGGTAATGACTCTGGTCATCACTGACATATTGACATGAATTAAAAGTACTATATGAAAATTGAAGTTTTATATTAAAAAAGACGATTTCGTGTAATAGTTATTTACATAAAAGTCAGGAAAATGACACATTACTGGCGAGGAAATATTGAATCCGAGTCAAGTAATGTCATTTTACTGACGAGTTTTGTATTAAATTTTACCCGAAATCGTATTTTAATATAAAATTTCCATTTTCATATAGAACTTTTGATTAATGTCAATCTGTCAATGATGACAGGAATTATTATAGACATTTATCAATGTGACAGGTGCGGCAGGAACAGTTAGTGTAGGAAAATTATAAAGTTTTGAGATTTTAGTTATGAACTCTCAGTAGGGACCCAAATACAGATCTGAAAAGTTCCCCCTCCTCGGTGGGAGCTTTATCCCCTTTGCTCAAAAAACCACCCCCAATCGTAACCTCACGATCTTTTTCGGCGTTTTGTTCGTAAACCGCAACTTCTACGAAAAAATGTTATAGAACTTTTTATATTCTCCATTAAATTCTTTATAAAAATGTGTTTTACTGTTTTTTGCGTATCTTCCACCCAACGCTCGTAAATGACCTTGTATGAGTCTGAGCAAAAAAATGTATAGAATCGAAATTAAAGAGCAATTTTCGTCGATGAGGGATTATTTTATATTACAACCACTTCTTGTAAATTCTTTTTTCAATTTATTAAGTTTATAGTCTGCGATTTTCCTCTCCTAAAAAAAAGGCAAAAGGGCAAATAAAATATTATATTTGCAACCCTTTAAAACTTTCGAAATGTGTAAGTCATGGGAACTATACGCCCTTTCCTTAATATTCTCTCAAAAAGCGAATGGCTTTGTCCGATGGAGAAAGAGTGATGAAGAAATTAAATATTAATTATTCACTATTTGTGATATGATGGTTAGTGATGCCCCCGTTGGTCTCGTCTCGAATTTTCGTAACGAGACCAAGGTTCAGTCTCGTCTTGTCTCATCTCGACGAGACGAGACTAACCATCAGTCTCGGGCTCTCGACTCTCGTTTGGTCTCGAAGTTTTTTTTGTTTTATTTTACTGTTTTTTTTTTAATTTTAATCAAGAAAATCCATTGAAATAACATGCATTCCAATTGTTGATATAAACCGTTCCTGACCTTACTGATTTAGGACTTAATTACAATAGGTGTTATATTATACAACTGTAATTTTTCTTAAATCCAGGAATTTGGCGGACAATTGATTTATTAAACCTGTACCCTTATCAAGAGATTTGGTAATAATACTTAATAGGATTGCTTTATATTAAATGCCCTTAATGCTCTCATTTTATTTTCACAAGTTTATGGCATTAAATCCAATCGTTTCTAGGTATATAGGTATAGTGACTCAATTTAGAACAGTGGATACAACCGGGTATCTCGTTTTTGATTGGTAGCTCGTTCTGGTCGCCATATTGGGGCTAAAATGCTATACCTAGGTACTTTAAGTATGAGTTTACACTTTTTTGTGTTCTTGCCAAATTCTGTGAACAAAGGCGCTGCTTAAGGTAAAATGTATACTGTGGACATATGACATATTCAAATATAGTTACTGTAAGTATAAGTACTTACATATTTACTGCGTAGTTAAGACCATAAAAGCAAGATTTTACAAAATAACTTGGACAGATTATCTTTAAGTATTTAAGTAACAAAGAATTCAGTGAGATACCTAGTTACAGTAGTTACATTACCAGTTAAATTTTACGAAAGCTAATATTTTTTTAGCTGCAGAATGGTAAAGAAAATCCTTATAATACACATAATTATGTTTCGTGATTAGCAGATAGATAAGGAAGGTCAATATTATTTGTTATGCCTTCGTGGTGTCTTTTATACATGCTTTACGCCATTTTTGGATAGTATGGCGAGACCACGCGAGACCAAACGACACTAGACGAGACGAGACTTTGAAAGTCTCGTCTCGTCTCGTCTCGCGGCAACAATAATGATTGTAACTGATGCATTTATCTCATGTACATTTACCAAAGATTCAAAAATAGAACATGCAATGTAGAAAAAAAAACTGCTCTTTAATTTCGATTCTATAAATTTTTTTACTCAGATTCACTTTACGAGATAATCGCCGCAAAAAACAGCGGTGGGCTCATTTTTCTCTTTGCGCTGAAAACTATGCTTATTTTCCAAGGTCATTTACGAGCGTTGGGTGGGAGATACCCAAAAACAGTAAGAAACATGTTTATAGAGAATTTAATGGAGAATATAAAAAGTCCTATAACATCTTTTCGTAGAAGTTGTGGTGTTTCGCGAGGTCACGATTGGGAGTGGTGTTTTGGGCAAAAGGGGAAGAAGCTTCCACCGGGGAGGTGGGAACTTTTCAGATCTGTATTTGGGTCCCTACTGAGAGTTCATATCCAAATTTTTAAAACTTTATAAATTTTTTCTTCTATTCCTTGTTTTACGAACTAACTTGCTTACACTAAGTAGACTGGTCCGCCTGCGTCATGAAAACTAACATTTCCCTAACATAAAGTAGACATGAAAATGAAGGTTTCATGACGATTTTGGGTAAAATTTAATACAAAACTCGTCCGTAAAATAACACTCCTTGACAAGAGTTGCAAAAATGCGCTAAAAAACGTATCATTGTGCCTGTCTTATTTTGATTCCGCCGATACCAACAGGGAGTACACTCAATTGTATTGTAAGAAAAAGGAAATTAAAGTAGGTAGGTACTCGGCACCAAAGGGGCCTCGTACTTCAATATTTCGTCGCCAGTGATGTATCATATTCCTGAGTTTTATCGAATGAAGTATTAATTTGCTAAAAGAGCGTAACAATTCGCAGTTGAAATAGTCAGTAGGAATTGTAAGACGTTCAGAAAAACGTCATCACCATATGGTATAAGAAAAGTTAAATCTACAAGACTTTTGGTCTGGCGGAAAGAAGCATTTTACAGTTCACAATTTCACTGTGAAGTTCTGACCCATCAATATCATACAATTTACCAAGAATATTACAATTGCTTTCTATATTTTCGTGACATCATTTTAATAAATTATCTATATCGAGTGAAAAACCAAATTTATAATTAATCAGGCGAATGAATCAATTAAATTTGGGTCCTCTCAGTTCGTTCTGGTGCTCTAACCACTGACAAATTATTTGAGCATTGATTATTAGTATGGGACAAAAATTTCGAAAGTGTATGAAATGACTGTAACTTGTTCTTGTAAAACACTAAAAAGGCCGGTTGGTTACTATTCACTATTCGGATGGATGAAATTAAAGAAATAGGAAGAAAACTGTGAAGATATGTCTGTTGAAGAATGTAGAAGTTTAAATGACAGTAGCTATCCGATAATTTTTTGTTTCAGTGTACCGACGGATAATACCTACGCAGCGGCGAATCACTTAATTTTAACTCTTGTCCCAGACATCAGGGCGCCGGCAGGCGCCATAAAGGCGATAAAAAATGAAACCGGATGCGACGCATTTTTTTCTTGAAATATGATACCCTTTCTAGACTTTTTTGAGAACGTTCCGTGATTTTTTCTAAAAACCTTCCGTTTGCTATATAAGCTAATTGAAGCGTGTTTAATTAATTAAAGTTCCAACATCGACGCCGAAGCTAAGTAGTGATCTCACGTTCGTATGTGATAAATCTACGTTCGTACAGATGAGAGATAAATATTAATTAACTATTATAGATCAATCAACTTAAGAAGTTGAGAGGCACCTCTAAAAATCATTATGCGGGTCACTCTGTAATTGGGCGCAAGCCTGTTAAGAAGTGTTATAAATTTATATAATTAATTGTAAATAAATAAGTCACATAATTACGTTACAGTAGAATAAATACACAAAAGATCGCCTAAGAAAGGAGCACATTCCTGTCAACGATTACGCTTTTGGTCAATAAAACAAACTCATGTTTCGCATTAAAAACTTTTTGTACTAAATTGTTTGAATTGATTTGAATTTTTATTCTGAAATTACCCGATTTCGTAGGTGTACCTGGAACATAAAAAGTTTGCGGAACATTGCACGGTGGAAGCCACGCCACAACGTTCTATTCTTAGAAGAGAAGCAACCCGACTAGGACGAAATGCTCGTAAAGTACTAACTCTAATTCTTGGAAAGGGTTATATAAAAACGAATATAAAACTGCTATTACAATAAATGTGGAAGCAAATATAGCTTGGAATTGCGTATTATATGGCTAGAGTTATAAAGTTCATTTTGAATTTCATGCAAAATTCGGTTCATAACCAACGATTCACGAACTCCGATCTACAAATTTAATAAAGAATCTACCGGCAAAATATCATCGGATCGGTCCATCCGTTCAGACCAGGGTTCAGAGAGACATGAAGTCATCGAGCGAGCGAGCGGACCGAATGATGCCGAGCACTTTTCGCAAACAATATTTGTAAACGCATGCGCAAATTTAGCGTCTTAAATAAACACGAATTTACTTCTTACTATAGATTGTATCATCGAAAAAAGGAATCGGGGGAGAGTAGTGTAGGCTCCCAAGTTTATTGTCCTCCTCAATCGCTGTGCTATGAATGAAGATAGGTATAGAGATCGTAATCATGCGCGCCGTTGAAACCACCCTCTACACTCCTAATGAATGAACAAAGTGTTTATAAACGCATAGATGTTTATAAGTTGAATGTTCCACTGTACAATGCATTAAAGGAAGTTGTGAAGATCCAGTGCATTGTGTACAGTGGAACATTCAACTTATAAACGTCTATGCCTGTACTCTATACCCATCAAAATTCTTTCTTTCCGTCCACCCTGGCACTAATATCAAACAACGAACGGACTTCGTGCAGGTAAAAGTTGTATGTTTCAAAAATGTAATTGGCGGTGGTAAAAGTGACCAAAGCTATGAAGGGAATACTATGTTACTGTATCATTACATTAAGCAGCGCAGCGATTTTTTTATACTAGGAAGTACTAGGTGTACTACTATACTTGTCTTGCCAAAAAATAATGGTAAAAGTTAATAACAATTTTAAGAACATTATGAATTTGAATGTCCAAAGGAAGCTGCCTGCAGTGGACCTGCATATTGGAAGAATTTAAGATACAAGTTCAGGTTAAGTTTCGCAGCCGCCATTTGCCATTAAGGGGTGGGAATTTTTCAAAACAGATGTACTATAATAAGGCTCTAATGTGACATATATTTTACTACTTGATCAATCAAATCCGCTACTTTTTATGTTGCATTGCGATATCTATCAGAGGGTGTTTTTAGAATAATGGATTTGGTCTTATACAGTGCGATCAAAAAGGTGTCGACATTTAATTTAAACTACCTACCAACGGTGACTTGACGTCAATCCTTTTTTGATGACCCGATACTACGTGCCTAAAGTAATCAATATGGAATTCTGAAATCCTTTATTAAACACGGATCAAGGGAGTTGCTGCGAAAATGTCGACGTTTCGATAAAATAATTACTACTTACTTTCTGCAAGGGTATTTTGATGAACACTTCTTGGTGAAAGTTTAGAGGCTGTTAAAACTTGAGTTACTCGAACCACCTCCGATCTTTTCTTCGCCGAACCTGAAACAATTAAATTATTACTATTTTAGCATGGTTCATTTTGAACTCGACTTAAATTTAAGATTTAAACGACGTGTAAAACTATTTGATTTGCTATCCGGAAAAGGAAGAATCTGACACCGACTATTGATTTTACTCGAGAAACCGTGCATGGTATAAATCGTATAGATTTTTGGAATCAAAATAGTAGTAGCACAATTAGGTACAAATTGCTAGGAAAGTGTGATCGGAAAATGATCATTATTAGAAGCTATTTTCGTCCCAACATTTATTTTATGTCGGATTATGCAAGCAGTCATTAGTTTTAAATACTTTTGATAAAGTACCGCAACCTTTGCGTAAAATCTCACCTCTTTTCGCAAAACTGCCAAACCTTTCTCTGCTTGACACTTTGCCAATAGTTGGTGGATAGGATAACTTATCCTTGGAAGGATGTTGACCCATTTTTACACCGACGCACTTTTTTTACATTACTTCAAAATTACTTTTGGCACTAAACTTTATTACGTGTCATAACGGAGCGTCCCTCGATAGTGTTGTTTTTTCTTCGACGTTTCTCTTCCGCAAAACCATCGTAGCACTTTAATCAAAGTAAAATTACGATCAGGTCGTGTAAACGTTTTTAGTCCGACACACAAGCCGACGCGACGCGCTCAGTGCAATTGCAGTAATGCAAATAAACCAAGTACAGAACCGATACAGACATAAAATTAAAAACAAGTTCTTTGATGGTCCTTTAAACAAGATATATGGGTAACCTTGTCAGAGTATAAAATTGTTATTACCGTGCTTGCTTTAGCGTTTCGCTATAATGATTTATTTTATACGTGGCTCCCGCTAACTCCGGAAAATTTCAAGAAGTGAACGGCTATAAAATTTAGATTTACATCCCCAGAACGTCCAGACAATACCATCGACAGGTCCAAGACCACAAAAATTCCTCCTTATTTTAGAACCTACTTTCGAAAATCAAATTGTCCAGGAAACTGGTCTTACTATGTTGTTCCGAAAAACGCTTTTATGATTTCGAAGATTTTCAAATAGGCTGTTGGTTTTGATGATGGAGTCTTTTGAGAATTAATTTTGTATGATCTTTTCTTTAGCTGTGGCGTATGGGCAGGAGAACAAGAAAAAAAAAGAAGACCACTCGCTCTAATTACGTGAGTTGAAACGAAAAACACGTCACGTAGTTACAAAAACGTGCTACTCCACGATTGTAATACTCCAAGGTCAAAAATTACCCAAAAACAATTACAAAACGTGATCCTTCAATCGAAAAACCGCCACTAAAAATAAATTTCGTAGGTTATAATCGGAAATTATGTCACAAGAATATTGGAAATGCTCGAATTATTTAAAAAAATCGCAAAACAAAATAGAAACCTTAAAAAATTCGAACAATCAAAAAAGCATCACTTGTGGGGCGCTTTTCAAAACAGAAAAGCAAAAGTAGATTACACAGTCTCGCATTGTTATCCATAAAAAAAAAGAAACCTCCCTAGAAATTAATTATGTTGATTAGTTGATTAGTAGAAAACTTTAGTAAAATAAAGGCACGTCGTCAGGGTGTTCCAAATTGCTTGTATGCGATGTTTTGGAGGAGATTTTGATAACTAAAAAAGATAAGAGTGATGCGGTTTGCACGTCTCGTAGTTACTTTTCAAAGCTGCATAGATCGACATTGTCAATGGTGTTGTATTTTAAAAACTAAGCAGGCTATTGAAAACAAAAAAAAATACCTCCTTACCTATTTTTACATACCTTTATTTGTTATACTTTTTTTGATATTTACACGTTCGCGCAAGTCATAAAATTAACATCGTCGGTCTATGCAGCTTGAATAGTAACTACGAGAAGTACAAACCGCATCACTCATTAGTTTTAGTTCTCAACATATCACTAAAAAAACATTTAAAAAAACAAGTAATTTGGAATACACTGTACATATCTGTTTTCATTGTACAGTGTGTCCTATTTTGGTTGAGACTGTAGTGTATATCAGCTGTTTTTAAAGATAGAGACTCTGCGCCACTTTTTTGTGAAACTTTCAATACCAAAAACAGAATCAACGCAACATTTATTTTTGAGATACAGGGTGAAAACGAACTTTGACGTTTTGGGACGTTATCGTATGTTACTACCCATGTAAGATAGACGAAAGATAAAAACTGCCTATTTTAGTGGCGTAGTTAAAAAAATTTTTGGCTATTTTTTAAATGCAACGCCCTGTATATATTAACGTCAATTGTTTGTTATTTTTTTTCCTAATTACACTGATGTATCACAACTTACTTTTTTTTTTATTTTCGCCATGAAAACCTTTTTTTTTACTGTTTTTAAATAGTAGGCCATGTATTTCTGGAGATTTTGTTTTGTTTATTGTATCCATTAATTAAGGCAGCTGATCCTAATCAATAAAAATGGCTGACGGTAGAAACATGTAATTTAAAATTTTTTAAAACATATGATATAATGTAATATAATGTATAATTATTAATAAATCCAATTAGTAAAATCATGTTAAGCCATGGAAATTTCCTAAAGAATTAAAATAGGTTTTCACACAGACGAAATGGGACGCTCATTAAAATGCACGGAAAACAAATATCGTTCGACGTTTGAATCTGCTTTTTGTCCTACTAGTCATGGCTTAACATGATTTTGGTAAGTGGATTTATTGCCGAATTTTTTATAAAATAGTGAGAAATACATCTGAACATGAACTAATTCGTATATCATTAGACGAGGAAAAAATATTCTTTCTATTGGTGTCATTATAAAGTTAACATGGGGAGCAACTATCTACAAAACACCTTTTTCCCATGTTAATTCCCTATGTTCGGTTTGGGAATATTCACCCGGTATAAAAAAATATAGGTTGTGATACATCAATGTCATAAGGAAAAACAATGCAAAAATTGACGTTAAAATATACAGGGTGTTGTATTTAAAAAATACCAACACTGGGACAAATCTCAGAAACTGTGGCCCAACATTTTTTTGTCTACGCCTCTAGTTCCTACGTAAATAGATCTGAAATAAGCAGTCTTTTGACATTTTTCTATCTTCCATGGATCTTACATCCGAAAAAGTCAAACTTTGCATCACCCCGTATCTCAAAAACAAACATAGCTAGATTGATTCTGTTTGTAGTATTAAAAATTTCACAAAAAAGTGGCACAGGGTCGCGAAAAGTCTCTACACCGTACTTTTACTATGAGATCAAAAATGAGTTGCTGTCGAGTTACCTTTGGAATTTTGTTTACATCGGAAATCGTAACTTGAACTTCCAAAGGCGACTCTACAGCAAATCATTTTGGAATTTTGATCGCCCGTTACCTACCCAGCTGCTAATTTGGACGCGAATGGGAGAAGAGAGGGGGAATGTATGAGGATGCAATTTTGGTGGACCGCCACTGGCACCAACGGTAGCTACTCCGCCACTGATTTCATCTCTTGACGGTCAATGTAAGTCACTCGTAGAAAAATTAAAACGACACCCTGAAAACACTTCAAAACAACGTACTCAAAAAGGAGCAACCCCCAAACATTGACTTACAAAATAAAAAAAACACGCCAACGTTTTCAATCTGGAATAACTGAAAATAAATATTCCAATTCAAAGCAAGATACCGGATACAGGGTGATATAAGTATGTAAAAAAGTAGTAGAGGGGATTAAAACAAGCACTTTTTCCGAATAAACCGGAGGTCGAACGTGTTTCGTTTGGGAGCCACCCTCGTAAAAGTGGTGAAATTTGCATTTCTTCTTTCATTTTTTTCCCAGCAATCATAAGAGTTAGAAAGACTGGTGGCACGTCTTTGAACAGGTTTTGAGGTATGCCCTTTCCGATTTTGCAAACATTCCTTTCAAAATTCCTACCATGAAGGGGAACCCTTAAATGGGGTTGGGGGTGCGAAAAAAATTCTGATTTCGACGAAATTTGGTCTCTGGGGGTTTTTGAACATGAAAATCACGAAATTCGAAAAAAATTCCACTGCAATTCTTGTCCGGACAACGAAAATGGAGAAAATTCCACGAAATTTGTTGTGTACATACTGGATGAGTTAAGGAATAAAACGGTCGAACAGTTTTGTAAAATCACAGATAGAAGACAGAAGATCCAGCCATTGGAAGACCACCTCATTGAATTTGAAGAAGCTGCCCGCTAACTAAAATCTGTAGGAGCAAAACTAGAGGTCGCCGATGTTGTATGTCAATGTCATATCTTGTTAACATTGTCTAAATGGTATGATCTGTTGGTAACAGCTCTTGAAACAATGGATCAAAGCAAGTTAACGGTGGAGTTCGTGAAAGCGAAGCTTATGGATCAAGAAATGAAGAAGAAAATGAAGAAAAGAAGTTCGAGCACTTTCAACAACATAGATATCCAAGCAGCCTTCAGTAGTTGCAGCAATAACAGTGGTAGGTACACTCATCAACGATGAAACGCACCAAGCAGCAGTCAAAGTCAATGGTTCAAGTGTCACAAATGTGGCAATTATGGACACATCCGGAGACACTGCAGGAGTAAGCACGCTTCGGAGGCTGTATGTCCCAAAATCCATTGTGTAATCCCAATCTTCCGATTAAGGCCCAAATGGCAACAAATCATAATGCCGCATTAAATCTCTGAAGGCGTCAAGTTGATTGGCACCCAATTAATTCCGCTAATTAATCCGCTGATAAAAAGACATCCACTTCTACTAGTTACATTAGTTGAAACCCATTGAAAGCAATTATATGTAGTCGGCAAAAACAGCAACATTTACAAAGTGTCGGGGACCAAAACAAAAAATAGTACCTTCTTGAGAAGGAAACTGAAGATAACTATAAAACTAATAGTAGCTTCTAAACAAGGAAATAGCAATTTAATATGCGAAAACAAACGTAGCAACCTTAAAAACTCCATAAAACAAACTAAAATCTCGTACTTCCCAAAATTACTGCAACTGATCCCGATTAGCTTAAGTATATACGAAAGCGAATATAGCAAAGCTAAAACAGGTGAATTTTATAAATAACGGCTAAAAGTCTAAGGCAAGTACCACAAAATTGTGTCAGGAATCAATTCTAATTCACTAGTCATAAGACCCTGAAGCGAATATGGAGCGTCTGGAGGAGACCAAACAAAGTAATAAGGTTTCCCAAACGATTTCAAGTAGAAACGCCATCGTCAGATCAAAATCCAAGGGGAAGCATTTGATTTGGCCAATACCTTCCAAAATGCAAATAAACCGAAAAAATTGCACTGCCCGTTACACTACTCACCCCATATTACCAAATGTAGGTATCGACCAGACTTTATATTAATAAAAAAAATTAATTGCAACCAAATTACGAAAACAACACACGCACTTGTAAGCACACTTTATAAATAAGCGAGACGTATACCTAATATTTTGAGAAAAAGTGAGTTTACACAGCAGCGGTTATGTTACAGTTAAATATAGCATCGAAGTAAGTACTCTTTTTAAATGTAGACAAATATTTTGTTTGTCTTCCTTATTTATAACCGATTTTAAAAAACGATTTGGACCAACTCCAAAATAATTCTAATCCTCAATGAACTAAGGACTGGTTCTTCTACACCATTGTCCAATAATACCAAATTTGTACCGTATGGAAATGAAAAACCGTACGCGAATAACGGCTTGTCGGCAACAGATGCCACAAATTTGCAAAAAAACAGTGTTCAGTCGTCCATAGAGTAACGTATACTACACGCGAAAAGTGGCAACGCGCTCGTAAATTCGGAGATCTTGAAAAATGTCCGCAACAGGCTCTTAAATACAAATGCGTAATCAAAATGTTAAGATAATTAGTATAACAAGGCATTTTGTGTAATAAACGCGACGGACGGCTTTACAAAGAGCCGTTGACACGAAGACTTCTATTTTTGA